TTGGTTGAACGTTGTTTGATTCTTGGTCTTAGCTCAGGTCTTGATCTCAGGGTTGTGAGTTCGAGCCCCGTGTTGGGCTCCACACTGAGCATGAAGCCTACTTTCAAAAAAAAGAAAAGAAAAAAGAAACATGTTATTTTCATGCCGAAATGCTTTTCATACTGTTGTATGTGTAAGAGTCCTCACTGAGAATCATGTGGCTTGTCCCTTCCTTATAATGTTTTTGTTAAGGCAGTATTGAGACATAATTTACATGTGCTAAGTCCAAACCATATGTATCCAAGTGTGCAGAGATGAGTTTTGACATATGCATAGACATCTAGATACAGTGTACCCATCACAGTTAAGATATAGACAGTTAAGATATAGACCTCTGTAATCCCCAAAGTCTCTTGTACCCTTTGTAGTCAGCCCCTCCCCCCACTCCCAGCCTCTGGAGCCATTTACCTGTTTTCTTTCCTTACAGTTTTCTCTTTTCCGAAATACTGTATAAAGGGAATCATCCAGTAAGTAGCCTCTTTTACTTAATATGATGCATTTGAGGTGCCTTATGCATGTTACAGCTTAGTATGGAGTAGTCGTCCATTGTATTACTCTGCCACAGATTGTCCATTCACCAGCTGACCGGACGTTTGTTCTTTTTCTACTTTTTGGCCGCTGTGAATAGTGCTGCAGTGAATATGCACATCAGAGTCTTTGTGTGGACATATGTTTTCATTCCTCTTGGGTGGGTAACCAGGATCAGGACTGCAGGCATGGCTCTCTAAGGAATTTCATTTTTATTTTGTATGTTCAGGGATCCATGGGTGTATATAAAGAGTGGGAGACATGGATAGAAAGATCCTCAGCACAGTGTAGACCGTGGGGACAGACTGGAAGCAGGGGGACTGGTTAGGAAATTGTTACTTTTCTGTCTACCATGTGGCAGACATTGCCATTTTCATCACTCTCTTTAATGCGGCGGGTTTAGAACATAGAGTCATGCAGAGATCCTGTGTCTGTTTTTCTTGGTGAAAATTTGACCATGTAGTTGCCAAATTCTACCCATGCACCGTAATATAAAAACATCTTCATTTGTGGACCAAGTGGAAATGAAAAGGAATCAACATTCATTTTTATATAATCTGAGTATGTATTGCTAGAGCTTTTTCTCAATACTAATTTTTCTTTTCTTGTCTTTCCTTTTTCCTCTTATTTCCTCTTAATGTGTCAACCGTGGCATGGCAAGGGAACTGAGAATTTGAAATGCAACTGAAATGCACTTTTTTCCTTCTCTGTGGTTTTGGAAAAAAAATAAAATCCTTGCAATGACAGTGATTATTTTTATACAAAGTTTAATATAGCATGAATAGCTTCCTTCTTAACCATTTTTTAAAAGAAACCTATGTTCAACAAAATTAACAGTTCATTCCAGTGCCTTCTAGGTCTACTTTGAAAGATTATTAACGTGATTTCAATCAACTGAAAATTAAAAGCACGGGATTTCCAAGTTCAAAGAGACCTTAACATAGCCAGCCCACGTTTGTAGATGAGAAAATTGAGGCCCAGACCACCTGGGAGCCTGGTTCCATCGCTAACCATAAGAACTCATCATTGCTTTTGTGGGTTGGCCATGTGCCTCCCCATAACAAGAAGGAGGAGCTCTATGTTTTTTAGAATTGGGAAAATTGCCTTAGGCTTTTTATACATTTAAAAATAAAAATAGTCATGATAGCACCAAACTTGAATTTCAAAGAGAACTAACTAAACTTGAAGATATGTAAAAAGAGATATGTAAGATTTTTGATGTTTTGTCTATCTTTTTGTGATGATATTGAAATATTTTGACATTAAGATACTTATAATATATAACTGTTTAACAAGCATATTATTTTACTGCTGACTATGTTGAACCGCCGATAGTTTATTTTTCTTCTTAGAGATAAATCTCATGTTAACTTTATAAAACAGGAGACAGATTTGGGAAAACCAGTGATGCTAGCAGTAACATCCCGTAGTCAGGTGCTCGCCAGGCTTTCTTGGTCCTGCTGGCATTCTGCTGACAGACACTTCTGCAAAACCGAAATGAGCAATTGAGAGACATAAGTCAGTGCTGAGATGACAAGACACTGACTCACCATCATGCAGTCACATCTCAGTCAAACATCAATTTGTTTTCCATATCCTCAGCATATATGCTAACGTATAATGACATGCATCTGCAAACACCCATTATTCACTATTTTATCAGTCTCTGCTTTAGCCATTTATATTTTTTTCACGATAGGGGTCCTGAAGGCTCAGGGAAGGGGGAAGAGAAAGGTGGAATAAACAAATAAAGGAGCATAACAATTTTTAAAAATGCACAAGGAGTGAAAAAAAGGAAAGGTGATCAGAGTGTCAGCTTTCTTGCTGATGACAGCTGAATTGAAGGATGGGGCATAGATGAGCAGGAGTAATGGGCTGATTAATAATGAACCCCAGAATTAGACTTAACTGCCCACTCCAGGCAGCTTGAAACAGCCATAGTTCCCCCACGTGGGGGCCTCCCTGTAAGACTGTGGTCAGCTCAGCATACTACGTGTGCTCTTGGGAGGAAGAGAAAAGGTGGGGCGGAACCACACAAGCTTGTCATATCCTCCAACTCAGTGAGCAGATAAGTCACACTACCACCCCTGTGGGGAGAGGCAAGAGGCTGAGTTTTTGGGGAATGTCCCTCCCTTTGGAAACCATTTGAGTGGGAAATAAGTGTGTATCATCCTGTGTGGATGAGAGAGGGGAGGTATCAAGGGACTGCCCCTTTTGGAAGCCCAGTGACATGCCTGTGAAGTTAAATTCACTATGTCTGGGAGGTTAAGAGAACAAAAGGAGGTATAGGTGAAGCACCCGGCATGGGGACTGGCATAGAGCGAATGCTAAAAAAAGTAGTCGTGATTCCGTTCAGTCTTTGTTTGGACAAATCCACATGCTCCTTCTTTGCCCTGTTTTGTTTGCCATGTCTAACCAGGTTTGTGATTTAGACAACCAGATGGATATGATGTCATCCCCTGGAAGAGAACAGATATGAGAAATATTAGAGTGGTGAGCAGTAGTGCATTTGATTTCTTATCTACTGAGCGTGAGGCATCTGCATCATAAATCATAGGCACATGGATTTATGATTTTCGTAAAGCAAAAGAACATTAACCTGTTAATTTGTAGCTCCATTTGGAAATTAAACTGTTAAAGAAAGCCCTGTACAGGGCTAAAGACTGACCCTGGACAGCATCACATCCCGGGGAGCAGCGGAGGGCAGGGCCCAGAGAGGAGCCACGGAGGAAATGAAGAGGCCAGAGAATAAGGAGGAAAACTAGGAAAGTGGGCAACACAGAAGTCAAGGAGAGCATTCATTTCAGGAAGGAGGGAGGAGTCAGCTGTGCCCGATGCTGCAGAGGAGTCAGGTAGGAGAGGGAGGAAAAGGAAGAAAGGGGCCTGCGGAGAAGGCAGTAAGCATCATTCCTTGTCAGTTATGGAGCACGGAATGTATGGGGCACTGTGCTACCTGCTCAGGCGCAATATCGACTTAATTCTCAAAAACGCTACCCCCGTTTTTACAGATGAGGGAAGTAGGAGTCAGAAAAGTTTAGTAGCAGCTTGGCTTAGGTCACAAAGCTTAGAAGTCACAGAGCTGGGACTCAGACCCCTGTCATCTGACTCTTAACCACTCAGCTGCCCTCTCTTCCAGAAGACTTGCTTTTGCCCAGGGTTGGGTGAGGAAGCCAGAACACTGTGAGTTGAGGGGGAGCCAGGGGTGAGGGAAGGGTAAGAGAGGATGGCAGGTAGAGGAGGGTAGGCTGGGGTTTGTCTTGCTTTAGAACAGCAAAGACCTCAGCATTATTAGATGAACATAGATGCCCAGAATAAAGCCAGGAAGTGAGGAGACACTCAGCATGTGTGTGTGTGTGTAGAGGTGGGACCTTAGGAAGGAGAGCCCCTTCTTCTATGTGACAGGAGAGAGCAGAAGCAATTGGATGGATAGGTTCAGTGTCAGAACATTGATGAAGAACATCTCTTCTGATTGTTCTCATTCTCTCTCTCTCTCTCCCACTCCATCCCTTGTCCCACCACCAGCCCCCTCTTCTATCTGGAACATCCCACTTACCCTTCCATGTCCCGCTCTTGGTACTCTCCTGAGCCCTCAGACAGGATGGTTTGCTCTAAGCTTCCAGGGAGTGTGCGGCCTCCGCCCACCCCACAGGCACTGCCAGGTGGGCCCCAGCAGGACCGACCGCCCACCCCCCCCCCACTGCTGGATGTGACTTCATGCTAAGTGAGCATGAATCAGTTGAGTTTGCACCTAAGACATGGTGCCCCTCTGTAGGAGCTTAGGGTTTGGAAAAGGACTAAGTTACACAAATGATTATAATATAAGTCCTATGGGAGAAGGACCATGAAACAGAGATATACAGAGTGCTATGGACTTCAGTCCAGAGGGGGAATGCAGTGAGGGAGGCAGAAGGGTTTTGAGCTAGTTGTTGAAGGATGAGCATATTTACAACTGACAAAGATAAGGAATAGGCCATTTTACTTAGAGAAAGTAGCATCAGAAATGGCACAGAGCTTATTGAGGGAACACAGGACGGTCGTGTTTGGCTGAAGGAGGAAATATAGCTGGAGTGGTAAGTCCATGATGCAACAGGAGGACCTTGAGTGCTAGACTATGAAATTCTGTTCTTTTCAGCAGTCTTTCGGTCGCCAAGAAGTCGATCCTAAGAATTTATAAATCACACCTACCATTTTCCTTCCAGAAACAAGGCCAGTATCCCAGGCTCCCAGGAATACCCTTGAGCATATAAGTGAGGGCTGTGTTATCTCGCTTGGGCAAAGCTGCTGCCTGTGTCCTGGGGATGGGGGTGGGAAGAGGAGAGCCAGGGGTGGGCTTGCTCCTGCAGTGAGAGTTTTCTCATTACTTGTACATCACTATTCTTAAGAACTATTTCTAGACAAAGAAATACAAAATAAAAACCTCTTTTTTCTTTCAGTTAAGAAAAAGAAGCCTAAACTATTAAATAAATTTGATAAGACTATTAAAGCTGAACTTGATGCTGCAGAAAAACTTCGCAAAAGGGTATGTTGATGTTTTTGTTTGGCGCAGAAATGTGCAATGAGTTAGTTGTTCAATAAATTCAGGTATTACTCTTGAATTGTTACAAAATAATAATTAGAGAAGCAGCCCTTGAATAGAGCGGATTTTTCCCCAAGCACATCAGCATTCCATGTGAAATGAATCAAGTAAAAGGGAAAAATTGCACCTGTGTGGCCCAAATAGAAGTAGAACTAACATTTAGGCCGGCCGACTTGGGGTCAGCCTACCTCCACCACCGGCCAGGTGTGGGGCTTTGGACAAAACACTTGGCCATTCTGAGCCTCAGTTTCCTTACTTAAAAAATGAGAATAGTAAGTAATCTTCCTACTTGGTTTTTGTGATGATCAGATGAGATTTTCTTTTTTTTAAAGCACCAACTATGTCAAATGCCATATAGGTGAACGTTTTTAATTGTATAGCACCTCAACGCAAAAAAAGAAAAAATAAGTTAGTCCAGGACTCTTAGGATAGTTACTGTTAGGTGAAATGACATTGGATTTAACATTCTTCTCACTAGGTGTTAATTTCAGGCACCTGCAGTTTTCAGGGTGACTATTGTATGGTTTGTGTTATCATCAGTTAATTTGAAATATGACTTACATGTGTTTCTAGATATTGCAGTTAAAAAAATAACTTGATACTAGATTGAAGTTCTTGTTCTCTGACTCAGTCATATTCATCATCTAATTATCAGGTCAAACATTTATAATAATGCATTTAATAACACCTTCACTAACATCTGCTTGTGACAGAAATTTCTTTCTCTACTCTGTACTTGAATTAGACTTGGTGTCATGATCGTTAGTTTTCCTGTAATATGCTTTTTTATCCAGTAGACCTTGGCTGCAAAGAAGGGACGGGGGGGATTGTAAGTAAATAAGCAAACAAACAACAAAAAGACACAGGTTAGGAACTGAGGTGGGACAAGAATATGCTTCCCACATGTTTATTGGAAACGTACCAGGAAGCACGGAGACTTCTGTTAAGTAGCGTTAGGCAAGGTTCCCAGGCCAAGGTTGGCTTACCGTCTTCAGCAGCCAATAAAAATGGAGTAACTCCAAAGACTATTGCAGCAGAGTTTTTCACTGTCCCTAAATTTAATCACTGGAAGGACTTCTGAGTCTATCTTGTTTAACTTCACAAAATGAAGCCATCTACTATTTGTGGGAAATTTGCATTTCTTAATGGAAGTGAAGTAGGAGTCTTCTTTTTCTATGCCCTTGTTTGGCATCCTCCACTTTCTCTTTACTAAATGCCATATATGAAAGTGTGGGATGCCTATTTCACAGGTGACTTTGGGGATAAAGGACGAATGAACAGCTTTAGAGAAGGATTGTTATGTAATTTTAATAATGGGAAAGAAGGGCTCAGTTGCAAGGGGAAGATAAGTCAGTGGGACATAAAAGTGCTGGAACAGTCCATGGAGTATTCTCTGGTTCTTTCTTATCTAGAGAAATGTTGAGGCAGTCCTCTAGGAGCACCCCAAATCTCTAACAGAGTAAATAAGGGAGGAAGGAGTAGCTACAATTCTTGCTTCTGAAATAGCAGGGAGCCATATTTATTATTGACTGAATTATCAGCGTAAGTAAGTTTTTTTAAGGTTATTTTTATGGCTGATATTTTCATATGATGCAGCTGGTCACCTTGGAAGAGCCGAGGCCCATGCTGAGGTATGCCCTAGACGGGGGGCGGGGGGGGGTCCAGTTTCAGTTCATGCCTAGCTTTAAGGACTATGCTACATGAAAGTACGAGGTCACTTTATTTTTCCATCAAAAACGTACAGATCAGACCCTAGTTCAATCATGTGTTTTTCAAAAGTCATCTGTCTTGCTTAATTAACACTCTCCCTTACCCCTAGACAAAAGGATTTGGGATGATATATTGAAATATTCCTTTATGTGCTAGAGTCATTTATTATTATTGTATTTTAAGTGAAAAAAGAGAGGGAGAAGGGAACATGTAATAAAGCTGGAGTAAGGTCAACACATGAAGGTTTGCATCACAGGGTCTGAAAGGAGCTTGGGACGAAGGGACACGCTGTAGGCCGAACACAAAGGGAGTAGCATCATGAGATAAGATTAATAGTGTTCATCAAAGGAGCTGCTCTCCACCAAGTCCAGAGAGAAGCGTTCTGCTTTGGGTCTTCATAAAGGGTACGCTGATGGATGGCACAGCTTCCTCCCTCTCATCACACCAGTGGATTCTGCAGTACATCTGTGGGGGCGTGTCTTAACGTCCATCAGCATGGCCCACTGGCCTCACACCAAGACAGTGGGGCCCAAGTACGTGTCTCTCCAATGAGCTGTCTTAGTGCTTGCATAAAATGTAAGCTCTGTCGAAAGAGATGATTTTTAGGCAATTCTTTACAAGCTTTGCCTCTTGCCTTTAAGTTTTTCAATTAAGCAATGAACATCGTAGTGTTCGGAGCTGTATTCTCTAGTAAGATTCTAGGGAGGGGAAATTCTTCCAGACCAAAAGCAAACACATTTACTTTGCCAGCCTGCTGAAGCGAGAGCCGGGCTGACAGTCCCTTAGCAAGGCAACATAGCCTCTGTCGTAAGGGGATAGGAAGGATGCCTTGGTCGAGCCAAAATATTCCGTTATTTTTCTAATTTTGATGGCCAACTAAGGGAGTATCCAGAAAGAACAAAATGCTTAAGCAGATTTGTGGCAAATATTGTTATTCCTATGTTTTAAATCATAATGGTACATTTAGCATGATTTTCACAAAAGTAGCCTCAACATTTGCAATTTAAGTTGCAGAAGGCATGTGGTAAGCTAAAAATGGTCCCTCCCCAAAAATATCCATGTCCTAATCCCTGGAACCTGTAAGTATTACTGTATTTAGAGAAAGGGTCTCTGCAGATATGATAAGTTACAGATCTTGAAATGCGGAGATTATTCTGGTTTATCCAGTTGGGCCCTAAATGCAATCACATGTTTCTTTATAAGAGAGAGGCAGAGGGAAATTGGAGACAAAATAGGAGAAGGCACACAGAAGGGAGAAGGCAACGTGAAGACAGAAGTAGAGATTGGAGCAATGCATCCATGATCAAGAAATGCTGTCAAGGAGGCAAGGAACAGACTCTCCCCCAGAGCCTCTGGAGGAAGCATGGCTCTGCCAACATCTCGATTTCAGCCCAGGAAACTAATTTGGGACTTCTGTTCTCTGGAATAAATTTCTGTTGTTGGAGCCATCAAATTTCTGGTAATTTGTAACAACAGCCATAGAACATGAATCCAGATTTTGGTGCTGGGCAGTGGAGTCCTACTATAGTCAATACTTAAAAATATGTAAGTGGCTTTGGGCTTGGGTAAGGAGGAGAGGCTGAAAGAATTTCGAGACGCATAAGAGCGAAAGCCTGGATTGTCTTAGGCAGACTGTTGGTAGAAATGTGGATGTGAAACCTGCCCCTGGAGAGGGCTCAGAGGAGGTGAGGAGCGCTGTAGAGCAAGCTTTATCGATAATCTTCAAGAATATACCTATTGTTACAAGCAGAATGTTGATAGGCCCTTCTGGCAAGAGCCAGAAGGAAATGAAGAGCAGGTCATCGTAACTGGAGGAAAGGCAGTCCCCGTTACAGAGTGGCAGGAAACTTAACTTAATTGTATCTTATGGGCCTGCCGCAAAGCAAAACTTGTAAGCAAGCAATGAACTTGGATGTTTAGCTGAGGAGATTTCCAAGCCATGTGTCGAGGATGTGGCCTGGTTTCTTTTTTGCTGCTTCTAGTAAAATATGAGAGGAAAGTGATAATTAAGGAAGGAACTGTTAAAGAAAAAAAGAGCCAGAACATGATAATTTGGGGAGATTTCTTGGTCTACCCAGATTGCAGAAGATGCTACAATTCAGAAGTTCATTGTTGGGAAAGTGTACTCCGGAGAGAAGGCCAAGGGTGTGCTGGACATCCTTTTCCTGAAGAGAGTAGATGTGTGACTCTTGGATCTACCCAACCGTCCAGCAGAAATCAGGAATAGAGATGGGATTATCCTGGAAGGGTCTGTGGAGGTGACTCTTGTCAAATGGTGTGGATCCCTGTGACAGGCACAAGAAACCCACAAGGCTTTTGAGAATATTATACCAGGAGAAGCATTGCCACCGGAAAGAGACACAGGACAAACTGGAAAACGATACCAGATTACCAAAATTCTACAGGCAGGAAACAGGCGGGTAAAACGAATCACGCTTTCAGTAGAAAGGAAAGATAACTCCAAGGGCAGAGTCTTGGACCCAGAGGCCAGAGACAAGGACTTGGTAGCCAGAGCCAAGAACCCAGAGGGCAGAGCCTCAAGCCACAGACTTTGAAACCTAAGGATTCACCTGCCTGCATTTTGAAATGTAAGTCTGTCAAAAGAGATGATCTTTAGGCATGGAATCAGTGATTCCCTTCATTTTCTTCTAATAAGAAGAAAAAGGGAAGTTAGAAGAAAGTCACACAGAAAAAGATATTTAACATTGAATTCTTCATCCCTTAAAAGTGGGTGGGGGGAGGGATGAATAGGTAAAAAACAGAGGGTTTTTAGGGCAGTGAAACCAGTCTGCATGATGCTGTAATGGTGGATACAGTCAGTATACATTTGTCCAAACCCATAGAATATACAACAGCAAGAGTGAACCCGAAGGTAAACTATGGACTTTGGGTAATTTTGATGTGTCAGTGTAAATTTGTTAGTTGTAACAAATGTACCACTGTGGCGCAGAATGGTAATCATGGGGGAGGTTGTGTGTGTTGGGGACACGATGGGTAGATGAAAAATCTATACTTTCTCTCGATTTCGCCACGAACCTAAAATTGCTTGCTCTTAAAAAATAAAATCTTTAAAGAAATTAATATCGTGAGTGGACAGTATATTTTAAATAGCGATACAGTCATTTCTGACAATACATGTAATGTAGAGTGTGTGTTCCTGGCTTGATTTATCTCTACAACCGAGCCCTCATTGTCTGCATTAACCTGCCTGTCGACCAGGTGAAAGGCTCTCATGGGATGGGCCCCGTTATCTTGTGTTGCACACAGATTCCATACACACCACATGCTCTGTGCGGTGTCTGCCCGCGCTTTATCTGTGTTACCAGATGTAGCTGTAACAGCAGCCCCGCAAGGTAGTTAAGTATCCTCATCCCCATTTTACAGATGAGGCACCCGAGGCAGAGTCATCAGTAACTGGCCGTAAGTCCTACACCTCCGAAGTGGTGGAGACCAGCTTCTAACCTGTTGGTCTGGCTCTGGAGCCGGACTTGTAGACACTCCACTATGCATATGTTTTCCACCAGCCCCTCAGCACCACTTTCAGGCAAGTGAGAGGAAAAGAAAACCTCCTCCTTCAATGATATCTTCTGAATGAAATGATTTTACGTAACTTTAATAGGGATGTTGCCTGACCTTTGACTATTTAGTCAAGTCTTTCAGAAGTAGTTGTCAATAACAGCTGGGTAGTCCTGTACAGTTGGCTTTGCAGAGCCACATTGGTGAGGTAAACTTTGTCATGTGAAAACGCACTCGGTGAACGTCAAAAAGCATAAAAACCACAGCGAGCTTCCATTTATATGAGGAATGAATGGATTTACCAATTTAGAGGAAGCTGAAGTGTCTGTGAAAGTTCACCTCAGAAAATCTGTCTCTCTCCCGTGGTTCCCAGTATCCTTGACCCGCAGCCATCCATTGGAAACCAGGGGACATTTGTTTCACCCTGTGGAATGGCCACGGATGGAGTGTCATGGGGAGCGGGTTCCTCACCCCCTGCCAAGACCCTCACCAAATTGACCTGTTCCACATCCTCTGTTTCTTTTCATGTCGTGGTGGTCAGGGACCTAGCAGAGGTGCTTGGCCTATCTTCTTCAGGGTCCACGTGAGCTTTGGGAGGGGTCACATGACACAGAGTCATGAGTTTCCCCAGTCAACCAGATAAGCCAAATCAATCCAGGTGTTCCGTGGGTGACAGGTACCATGAGCCAGTGGCCTTGTGACTCCTGCGAGTTTATTCCCCACCCCAACAGGTGCTTTAGACTTCTCATTGCAGACCCCAAGACATTCCGGCTGCCAGCAATATTTTTCCCCAACTTAAAAACCTAAATATTTTCTTCAAGAATATAGTCAATAATATTGTAATAGTGTCGTATGGTGACCGACGGTAGCTACACTTGTGATGAGGATAGCATAATGTATAGACTTGTCTAATCACTATGTTGCACATCTGAAACTAATGTGACATTGTGTGTCAACTGTACTTCAGTGAAAGAAAATTAAAATATAATGCATGTAGGAACTGTACATATAGAGGGAAAATGCAGTTTCTTTAACAAAGAGAGTACATCATTTGTCAGGTTTCTGTTATTAAAAAAAATATTTTCATTTTTACTTTTATGTTTTCCGAACTTAATTTTCTAAAATCTTAGATAAAACTGTCTTTAGACTCAGAATGGAATCCAGGAAATTTTGACAGTATTACTTGGTGACTATTAAAAAACCATATAGAATAACAGTATGCATCTGAACTTACTGCATTTATGTAACTGCCTCTTCCTAACAGGGAAAAATTGAGGAAGCATTGAGTGCATTCCAAGAACTAGTTCACAAATACCCGCAGAGTCCACGGGCGAGATACGGAAAGGCACAGGTATTCGAAATCCCTCCTATGTAGAAGATGTTTTCGATGTCCTTGTGTTCTGTGTGATTGGATTTTTCACTGCCCACTATTTGCATTTCTCTTTGCCCTTCTAACTTATATACAGAGTCCATTTCTCATGCATATGTGTAAATTCAAGCAAGAAATACCATTTTAAATAAGACAATTAACTATTGTTATTGTGTACTGGTGAATTTAGTAACGTTTTCCCGCTCTTGTTCCATCTGGCTTCTCTCTGGGTTTGAAAAGAAAAGAAAGAAGAACGCTTTTGTCCTTGATCTGCCATCACTGTCATGTCCCATACCTCCAAGTTTTCACTGTAGCCTCCTCCAAGCTGTAAGAACCTCGGTTTGGCAGCTAGAGACTGCAAGTATGCTTAGGAAAGACTTGAAAATATAAAGTGGAATTATATTACCAGCTACCTTCTCGCTATCTCCACTCCCTCATCTCCTTTCTTCCCTGACTTTCCCCATCTTTCAGCTCCTCATTTTGTGAAGCTTTCCCATATTCATCTGTGGTTGCATAAAGCCACCGTGTGCCATGTGCCCTGGGATTATCATAATGAACCCTCTAGAGGGTCTCTGTCCTCATGGATCTTATGTTCCAGTGGGAGGTAGTTTAAAAGTTACTTCATCAAAAATTACTTAGAGAAAGCCCACTATATGCCAGGCCCTGTTCTAGATGCTGCAGATGTAACCATCAGCAAAACATACCGAGTTGTCATTGTAGTGATGAAGGCAGTGCAGCAGACAAAACAAGTAAAATATATATGCTCGTTAGTGAGAAGTGTTAAGGAGAACCTAAAAAAGCAGAGTACTGCCATAGGATGTGTGAGGGGGTTGATATGTTGGATAGGGTGTCAGGGAGAGGTCTACCGAGGAGGTGACATTTGAGCAAGGCCCTGAATAAATATATATAGCAATATATATTTAAGGATATTATAAAGTGTTAAACGTAAATATATTAGATCATCTTATGTAATATATATCATAAAGAAAAGAAGAGCATACCCATTAAGATTTTTCTGGCTGCGAGTGATGTGACTTGAGGGTGACAGGGCAGACAGCACTTTAGATACGTTGACCAGAAAAGGCCTCTCTACTGAGGTGTGATGCGTGGCTGAAATGTGACAAGGGACCTGAAGGAGCTGTGCAGGCAGAGGGAACAGCGAGGGCAAAGGCCGTGATATGGGGAAGTCATATTGGCGTAAGAAGCTCAAGAACAGAAAGAAGCGTGCGCTGAGGGAGGGCAAAGTGGAGTAAGTGAGGCCAGGGCCTCACAGATGATAGTCTCCATGCCCTGGGAAGCATTGGAGGGTTTATGCATGGACTTGGCCATCTTGTTTTTTCATAAAGATTGTTTTGGTTCCTGGGTGGGGAATAGATTAAGGAGGCAGAAGTAGAAGCAAGAAGCATAGGGGACTATTACAAGTATGCTCAAGGCGCGGTAGCATGGACTGTGGCCATAGCCGAGGAGATGGGGAAATGGTGGGGAGGGCTTCATGTTGGCTTAGGTGTAAGGGTCAGGGGAAGACAGGGACTGGAGTCCTGGGTTTTGGGTTTGGCCAAATGAGGAGAGAGAAAGAGATGGTTACTGACAGAGGAAAACTGTAGAGGAGCAGGTTTGGGAAGGTGTGAAGTCAAGAATTCGCTTTTCATCCTATAAAGTTTGTGATGCCTCTTGGACATTCAAGTGGACATGTCAAGAAGACATTGAATTTATGAAGTCTGGAATTCAGGATAAAAGCCAGGCCTGACACAATGTGTCTGGCAATGAGGCTCCCACAGTCCAGCCTGGTGGGATGAGCTTCTCAACCCTACTGGGAGATGATAGGTGCAGAGCTACAAAAAATGTCCAGACCCAGGAGAACCTGACAACTCCCCTTTGCCTGGGGTCAGTGCTGTGACTCATATACAGCACTCACATAGGAACTGTCATATCTATGGATAAAACAAACATGTTTTGCTCTGAACTAAAGGTGGCAACCACTTGTTCCAGTTGCTCAAATTCTTATCTCCCTATTGAAAACCTATTAATTAAATTTTAACAAATTAAGGTTGTGAAAAATTAACGCAGATAAATTCCTCCTATCCATGGAACAGGCCGGGATACCAGGGGTAGCAGAGAGCAATTATATCATTTTTGTAAATGAGTTTGGTCAATAACCCTCCAAAATCGCTGAATTGTATTGCTCTAAAGCAAGAGAGCACGTGTTTCTTACCAAAAGATCACGCCTGTTCAAATAAGTAATAAGTTTCATTACTAGTATTGGCAGTCATTTGATTAAGAAAACATATTAACTAGAAAGAATAAAGATTCATGCAAATGTTAATTATGGCAAAAATTCTTTGTGCTTTAGAATTTTTCTTTGTATGTGATAGTAATTGTGGGTGCCAAAATCCAAATAAGTGTACTTTCACACATGGTAATTGCTGGATTTATATTTTGATTTCACTGTAGGAATTTGAGAGATAGGCCTCAGGCAATATTTTTTATCTCTGAACTATTATGCTACAAGGTGTTATGGGTATTAATGTGGCATAAAGCAAAATTTAAGCATGGTAAATTAAATTTTAATAGAGTAATTTAAAAGAAATTTTAAATGCATAGAAGTTTTAAAAATCAGAGTTCAAAAGAAGCTGGATTTTATAGGGAGGAATAAAAGATGACTTTTTCATCCTTTGTTTGCAAATTACACAATTACGCTGGAATATCCCAACAAATTTTTTTTTTAATACACCAGCAAATTTGTAAGATTCAGCAACATTAAGTTAAATACGAACTACAGTTTCTGAAGCAGCACTGATATTGTCTGATTCCTGGGATCACCATGAAAATCAATTTTGACCAAGTTCTCTGAACATCAGATACAACATCTTAAATTATAAACTCAATTCACTTTATTATCTTACACAAACCATTAATGCCTCTGAGGCAGAAAATGACACATCTCCTAGGAAGTTTGGATGGTTGAATTAGTTCAAGTCAACAAAAGACTTTGTGGTGTTAACATCCTGGAACAAATGTTCAGTTTCTGCCCAAATCACTTTATGTACGGATGCTAAACTGATAACAATAAATCTATACGACTTTGATATTCAAAGCCAAGTCTATTACTTTCATTCAAAAAAATTTAAGATGGAGATGTCATTTTAATACTGAGATTTTCCCAATTCTGGAAGTTGTAAAATGTTTTTACTTCATTAAAATGAAGGAATTTGAGATGGGTGGAGGGGAGGAAACAAGGTATATAAATTGTATCATCTTCGTGTCTTTTCAGATTGAGTTTAGTCTGATATTTATTCCAATTTCTGTAAAGAAGGATTACCTTGGTATTCATTTGTCCTTGCACTAACCTTGAAGAGACCCTCCAGCTCCAGAACTCCCATCATTCTCAGAAGTCATCTATGAATGATCATGTTTTAGGGAGCTAACTCACCATAGCCAAACTCACAAGAAACTGATGCCTAAACAGAAAAGCCGGCATATGAATATACCGACGGCCAGAGGGGCAGGATGACCAGTGTGGGTCATTGACGTTGGACCTTCTCTCCTGGGAGATAAGTCTATAATGTAGATCTGTCTACATTTACAGATATGAACAGATAGCGGTATATTCTGAAGCTTTTTTCTACCAAGCGAGGGTGAATTGACCTTTTTGAATCTAGAGATTTTTGTCTTATCACTTTTCCTTTATCATAAGACTGTCCACTTCTCTCTTTCACTACTGTTTCAGTCCTAGCCCTCATCATCTCTTGGGAAAACCTTACCTAACCAGTACACATAAGAAGTTGTTTCTTTGAAGTGTTATTTTCTGAAAAGCTCTCCACAGATATTATCAATTTGTGCAGATTCTTACTAGTTTTTGATGTGGGATTGGGAAGGAATGCATCGTTTTTTTTACCATGCCCTCAAATCGTGGAGCTGTGCTTTACTTTGGTTCTATATATTGACTGCAGCACACACTTTATTTTAAAAAGGTAAACATGTTAAATAGGGTATTCTGAGAAAAACATTTTATATGTGACTTTTTTTAGCCTCTAATTGGTATCATTTTTCCTCAAGTAATCTTCAAATTGTAGTTTACGAAATCGGATGGGATTTTTGCCTAGCATTTTACACATTCCCCTCTTTATCACTCTAGTATTTCACTCCCCATTCTCATTCTCAGTCTCCAGTGAGGAATCTTGCTTATTTCACTAAGAAAATAAAAGTATCCAAAGAGAACTTCCACATGATCCCACTACAGCACTCCCAGCCTACCTCCACCTGCTCCCTATGCTCTGCCTTCCCGCCTGTTACCATGGATGCACTGTTCTGGCCCCTCTCCTATCCTCTCTCACCTGCTGAAGGAAAACATGCTGATTTTTGTGTCTCCTTCTGTATCATCACATTTTCCCTCTCTACTGACTCTTTTGCATCAGCTTAGAAGCATGCTGTAATATTTCCCATTGTTAACAAAAACAAAAAACCTCTCCCTGGTCTCCACATTCCCCCCCACCTACTGGCCCATTTCTCTGCTTCCCTTTGAGGGTTGTCTGCACCTCCCTCCCTCCTGGTTTCCTCTGATCCTGCTCCATTCTGTTATGGGTCCCCAGTTGTCCTGTAGAAATGCTCTTGCCGGGGCCATGAGAGGTGCCAGATTGCCCAGTCCAGCATCATGACCAAGATGCTCAACCTGATGGCCCTTCTAACATGACTGATCACTCCCTCTTGACACCTTTTGTCCTTTAACCTCCAGAACACTTTTTTGTTATTTTCTTCTTAACCTTTCTTTCTCGGTCCTTTTTGCGGGCCCTCCCCTGTTTTTCTGACTTCTTTCCTGAACCCCAGATGTATATATGTATTTTTCTATCCAGCATCTCCCCTTGGGTACCTAATAGGTGTTGGGTTTAATACATCCAAAATGGAACTCCTGATTCTGAATGCCGACAAACCCTGTCCTCCCATTCTCAGGGGATGGCAGTTCCATCTGGGAATCGCTCAGCCCAAACCCTTGAATTTATCCTTGACTTCTCTCCCTCCCTTTCTGTCGCATTTCAGCCCACCTGCAAATCTGTTGACTCTAACCTTCAAAATGTATCTATAAACCACGTACCTCCTGCCACATCATTCCTACCACCATTATCCAAACCATCCTCATCACTGGGTCTGGGTTCCTGCTAGAGCATCCTAATTGGCCTCTGTGCTTCTCCACCACCCCTTCGGTCTGTTCTCCATCCCACTACCAGCGTGATCCTTTCCATGTACGTCAGATCATGTCAAAAACCCCTGGTGTCCTTCCATCTCACATGGAGGTAGTCTAATGGACTTGGCAGTGGCTTACCACGTTCTTCATTACCTGACCACCACTCCTCTGCCAGTCCCCTCCTTTCCCCCCTCCTGCACCAACCTTTCCTCTCCCCCTCACTTCCCTGCCCAGGGCCTCACTCTTGCTGTGTTCTCTGCCTTGGAATGTTCTTCCCCCAGATAGCCTCATGCCTCACTCTCTCCCTTCTTTCAGGCCATCCCTGGTCATCCTGCCTAAACTAACTCTTCCTACCACCCCTCTGCCGGCACTCCTAAGACTGCTTCATTTTTTGTCCCCAGCGCTTGTGGCCACCAGACACATAGTACTTGGATTTGTATATTGTCTTTTTCTTCATCATGAAGCAGAAGGAGAAAAGGGCTTTATCTGTTTTGTTTACTTTGCCTGCCTCATGGCTCCTGCATGAGAGTTGTTGAGTGAATGAGTGAACACGCAAACTACTGAGAGACCAGGAAGTCCAGACTGGAGCCTTGTCTATGTAATATGAATGTGTAGCATGATACAGATCTCCATCAACCAGCATAGATTAATTATTCTTGCTTTTATATTTTTTTCTCATCTGCAGCTTGGTAACTAACTTGTCTTCATGTTATTGAGATAGCACGTTGAGTTGCTTTTCTCTATTTGCTCTTTAATCTCTTGATAAAGAGAAAATTTTAATCTGTCTCGAATTGCTTTTCACCCGTGTCCAGAAATTTACTTTACATGCATATTTTGGGTGATTACAAATACAGCCTGTCATGGGACATTTATCCATTGTGGGGACCTGTTCTAGTGTGAAGACGATCTGGCTGAGAAAAGAAGGAGCAACGAGGTGCTGCGTGGGGCCATCGAAACCTACCAGGAGGTGGCCAGCCTGCCCGATGTCCCCACAGACTTGCTGAAGCTGACATTGAAGCGACGCTCAGACAGACAGCAATTTCTGGGTAGGACAGAATAAGACTTAGTTCAGTTTTACAAATGCCATGCTATGTACTCTTAGGTGAACTTAGTTACCTAGGAGGGAACCTGAGTTTCATAACTTATTTCAGGTAATTTACCCGAATGGATTCTGGACAGAAATGGCGGTCCTAACCTTAATACTTACAAAGATGCAGATGGTATTTTATCACCTTTTCCTCACTAACCACCCCCCCCCAATTTTAAAGCTGAGGCAGATGGGATGCTGGGAGGTTGGATAATTTGCCTAAGAAATCACAGCTAATAAATTAATGGGTCTGAAATAAAAAACTCTTCCTGTTACACCAAACTCTTTTCTCTCTTAACTATGAAGAATTGATTCATGGAGGTTGAAATCATCAGAACAGTTTTTATAAAAGATGGAATATTAGGAGTTCCAGGCATTAAGAATTTTGCCTGTAAAGTTTGACTCTAGACCAAGGAAAATGATAGGAAGAAAAAAAACTTATTAAAATCCCTAAGTAAATTTGCCAGTGCTTTGAAAAGAGCAGCATAAAGCATCCTCTCTGACTGACCCAGGTGCCCATGAAAGGCAAGTAAGCCTAGCCCTAAACCTAACTTCATTATGACCAGGCTTCTGATTCCCTCCCACCTAACTTGTCATCAGGAAACCAGACAGAAGAATCTAGGCCACGTGTAACCACTCCGGTGGGTGCTAGTGGCTGGATACGTTACAGAAACAGTTATTGATGCCCCTAGGAGAGGCTCATATAAGTGAAACCGAAGGCCAGCTAACCCTGTTACCAGTTTCCTGAGGGATAGGGGTAAGGGTAGTTGTGTCACTTTAGTAAATGACCGGAGTCTGATAGGAGCAGAACCCAAGGGATGATTAGCAACTGGAAGAAAGGGTCCATTAGACTTCTATGCAAAAGGGCCAGTCCGGAAGAAGGAAAACAGTACCCACACACGATGGAAAAGACAAGGCTGGTGCTCAGGGGAAGCACTCGCCTTGGGCACAAAATTAGTATCACTGAGCTTTCCTCTTGCCTCAGGCTCCAGTATGGCTTGCTTAAGCATTGTTTACTTATTCTGTCCTTCAAATTTTGATATTTTGTTCATTGTGGATTTTTTACATTAATTTTGATTTTTAGGAAGAGTGCATAAAAGTACCACGCCTCTGGGTGACTGCATTTTTGGCAGCCTGTTAAACTTTGCATTGAGCACCTCACTTGCCTCACCTTATTCCTGGACCTGGGGGAAAGACTGCCTACAAATACATCTAACCCCCTTCTGCAACCATCCTTCAATACTTGAATATAGTTCTTTCCTCCAAATAAGAATGAGGCAAGTTCATGAGAGGAGGCTCTATGAGGAGGGGATTGTAGGGAGAAGATTTTATTGAAGGTGACAAGGTGGTGAAATTTACTCCCAGTATAACAGGGTTGCATGATGCGGAGTAAAAGGTTCGGGGAGGGCAGCAGGCAAGATGTTTACCCGGGCCTTTTCAGTGGTTAACAGGGGAAGTGTAGGAGCAGAGGAAAAGTATGAACCTAAGTTGGACAGATAGTGGGGAAGGGAATGTAAGAAAAGTAGAGTCAGATTTGTGAGTGAGGGAATGAATCACCAAGCGAACCGATCCAAGATCGGCTAGTAATGGGGAGAAGGCCATGGGATAAGCTGGCGATGTTTTATGCCAAATCGTTTTATCTGTGATCAGGACACACAACTGCATTAGCTTATTTGTAGTCCTCTCGTACTCTTGGCTAATACCTAGTTTGTGGGCAACTGAGCCCTTTAGGGAATGAATTTTATCATGTATACTGGTCTTATTTTGCATATTTTCCCATATTCCATTTATTACCAACTATGGTGAGGAGGAATGACAGTTGGCCCCAGAAATTTTAAATTTCCATCACATAGCCTTAAAAATCTACCAAGGCTGGGGTTTTCATGATTCCTGTTGTGCATAGCATCCTATCATCCACCAGAGGGTCCCATAATACCAGATGATGTCTTCTTGCTCCTCGACTAGGTCATTCATTACCCGGAGGTGAGGACACTTAATTAGAACCAGTATCAACAGTATACCCCAGTGCCTTTTAAGGTTTCACACAGGGAGCTACACCCAAAATCTGTTAGACTTTTTATTTGTTCTCTGTTCATAATCTTGAAGTTAATCGTAATAAGCCAAAGATAACCCAGTGAAACAGTTTTTTTTTTTTTTACAAGGAATTGATAAAACTTTTGAAAGAGGGAATTTGACATAAGATAAATGTTGGTGAACTCAGAAAATGATTTGTCTTTAAAATGTTTATAACCAGTATTATATTCAGGATCTACTTATGGGAGTTATTGGTAATCTTTGTAGCTGCCTCATGAAATCCTAAGAAGCCATCAGTGTAGAGAGTCAGTGATTTCAGCTGCTCTTTGGGCTCTATTGAATAGTCTCTCTTGTCTCTCATGCTTTGTAGACTCAATGCAAAGATGTACGTGATCTGTTTTTATTTCTGTTGAGTTGTTGTTGTTGTTGTTTTCTCTTCCCACCAAATCAGGTCACATGAGAGGCTCCCTGATTACCCTACAGAAATTAGTTCAACTGTTTCCTGATGATATGTCTTTAAAGAATGACCTTGGAGTGGGGTACCTCTTGATAGGGGATAATAACAATGCTCAGAAGGTCTATGAAGAGGTAAGCAGATAGCAGTCTCCTATTGACCACATCCAGTTGTTTTGAGCATGAAGTTTTAACGTCACTGGTAAATTGCATTTATAACGCCCAACCTCTCTCTTTCTTTACTTTAAATTAAGTTAAAGAGAAAGTTAGTATTCATATAGTTGACATATTCTAAATTTTGTCTTCATCTCTTGTTTTGCCTTAATCAGAAAATTTTAAATTTTAGTTAACACTTGGTACATCAAAACCTTCAACTTATTATTGTGATAGTTTTTAATTTTATTTTTATTTCTTTATTTTTTTAAGATTTTATTTATTTATTTGACAGAGAGAGAGACAGCGAGAGAGGGAACACAAGCAGGGGGAGTGGGAGAGGGAGAAGCAGACCCCCTGCTGAGCAGGGAGCCTGACCCGGGGCTCGATCCCAGGACCCTGGGATCATGACCTGAGCCGAAGGCAGATGCTTAATGACTGAGCCACCCAGGCGCTCCTGTGATAGTTTTTTTTAAATAAATTTTAAAGATTTTATTTTTATTCATTTTAGAGAGAGAGAGAGAGCTCCTGTGTGCACACGTGCATGTGCAGGGAGGGGGAGAGGGGGAGGGAGAAGGACAAGCAGACTCCCTGCTGAACGCAGAGCCCGATGTGGGGCTCAGTCACAGGACCCTGAGATCACGACCTGAGCCGAAATGAAGAATCCACAATTAACTGACTGAACCATCCAGGCGCCCCTATAATTGTGATAGTTTTAAAACTTTGTATTTATCAGTCCATAAACACCTTTTCTAGAGTGTGTGCTTCATGATAAGAAATAGAACTCAGTTTTTCCATAAATGTAAAAACACATTATGACCTTTTCCCTTTTGTTCACCAAAAGTCCAGTTTAGAGAGAGACTATGGAGCAGGGGCCCTTCAAGCATGTGGAGTAAATTACTCACCTTTTGGAGGGCAGTAACTCTTTGATCCTCTAGCAGGGATGCCTTCGAAAGGATTTCTACCTTATAATGGTTATTTTTAATAGATAACCTCCAAGTTACAAGTAACTATAAATCTAGGAAACTGTGTCTCCTTCCAGTAATGAGGAAATTCATTTGGAATAGAATAAACCGGATACCCAATGAACTTCGAAGCTGGAGAAAATTAATGCCTCCATAAAAGAAAGGTGAACACATTTACCTGTTACGCTTTAATTTAGGTGTTTTGGTCAGTGGTTTTCAAGCTGGCGTATTTTACATCAAAATGCTACTACTCAGTGATAGCCAATATGATTCCTTCTGGTTTAAAAGTGCTGTCAAGTGCAATGAATTCATACTCCATCTAGGGACTGGGTCCACTCACAGAGGGGTGCTTTCCTGCTTTTATTGTTGTGGAGGCTTAATTGAAAATCATCAAATTTCAGAACAAGTTTCTCTTCATCCTTGTCGTAATTTTTCTATTTTCTGAGAGAAGAGAAAGAAGACTTTTGCTTTTTGTAGCATGTCTAATATCTACATAAAGTAGATTGATCCTGCAGTGTTGAAAATGTGTGTCATTCACTAAAGTACCTGTTCCAGGTCATAAAAGAAGTCCAGGTGGGGCGATGTAGTTGCTAATGGCCAAAACCTAACACTTAGTGCCCTGTGTTGCAAAGTTGGTTTAAGGGAAATAATCATGTATCTCACGATTCAGGATCATCTGAATGTAAGAATAGGCCAACTATATCAGATATACCCATTATTCTGCCACTTTCAAAAGCCTCAAAGATGAAATTGTAGCCTCCCTCCCTCTCTCCTCCTTTCCTTCCTTCCTTCCCTCCCTCCAAAAACATGATCAAGTGTTAACTGGATACCAAGCACATTTGAGATCAGGTCAGGATCTGAAAGCATACTAGGTTCTCCCACCCACTGTGGATTTGTCCTTCCTCAACTTTTCAGAATGTTCCTTGAATATATTCACTGTTTTTACCTGATAATAGATCTCAGATATGTGAAACATTTTAATTCATTTGAAAAATAAAATTTGTCTGTTGTCATTTATATGTTTGAAATCATAATCTCATCTGAATAAGCATAACAAGATGTGGAAAGTCTAAAATAGGGCCATATTATACATTCAAGTGGGTTTCATACTTTTAAAGAAAGTATGTGTGGGATTTGCCTTTTATTCCCTCCTCCCACTTCTAATAAGCTGTATCTAAGGCATTCTTTGTCATTAACTGAAGTTTATCCTGATATGTTAATGTCTCAAAGATCATTTTCAGAAAACAGTTGACTGTAATTTTATACTTTTCTTCATATTGGTTTTTAACTTTGATAAATTATAAAAATCACTGGGGGCGCCTGGGGGGCTCAGTTGGTTAAGAGTCTGACTCTCGATTTTGGCTCAGGTCATGATCTCAGGGTTGTGAGATCAAACCCAGGGTCAGGTTCCACACTCAGCGCAGAGTCTGCTGGAGATTCTCTCTCTCCCTCTCCCTCTCCCCCTCCTCGGGCTCACTCACTCTCTCTCACTCTCTCTCTCTGTAAAAGAAATAAATCTTTCTAAATAAATAAATAAAAATCACTGTTGGTTCTCTTCCCGGGTTTTTTGTTTGTCTGTTTGTTTTGCTGCTCTAAGTTTCAGCAAGATTGCTTTACGATGGTTTGATGCAGATTGCTGACACCTGCAGTTTTGGAGGTGCTCCTGCGTCCCCCTTTGCGTTAGCAGCAGGACGAGTGACCCAAGCCACCCATGGTTTAGAGTCAAGCATTTTCCTACTTTTCCCTCCACTCACTCCTCACATATATCCATTCTGTTAGTCCACACATGTTTATTGAAACCCACACACAGTAGCTTGGGAAATGGTAGTTAAGGAAATAAACATGCTGTACCCTCATGGAGTTTCAGCCTGATACCAAATTACAAATTTCTATTCATTTTCCCTTCTGAATATCTTCCAAATCTCCCCCCTTTTTAACCCCAGCACTCATCATCTCTTGCCTAAACTAGGGTAGATTTATCCTGGGCAGGCTTGCTGTCCTCCAGCCTTCACCAACATAAAACACAAATCTGACCATCCCACACTCGGCTTCGACTCCTCGCTGGCTCCCCCCGCCCACAGCAGTGGTCTTCAAACACGTTCGGCTGCCTACCCTTCCAGTAAAACATACTCTGGCAAATACCTGCGATATGTATGTTTAAGTATTTATGTATTATGTTTATGTAATAATATAGGATATACATTACATAATAATGTGTGCTATACATTATAACAGGTACATGCCCCCAAAGTAAGTTTTAAGATGAAAGGAAGTATTTTAAATACTTTTAAATTTCATTTAATGGCAAAAAAAAAAACCTAGTCACTAAAAACTTTCTCTTTTATTTATTGATTTAAACTTTTTAAAATTCTCTCTTCCGACTACAAAATTGAAGAGAAGCTTAATGCAGACAACGAGGGAAACAGATTAGCACAAAAGGCAGACATCATCTGCAGCCTCATCCTCACGCCCAGACTACCATGATAGACATGTGGTGTGTGTCCTTCTGGTGTCTTCCATGCACAGAACACTTGTCTTTTTCAATTAAATTAGTATATATGAATCATATCATCACAAGAATTTTTATAAGCGAATAAAAATGCTTCTAGAACATAATTTTGGGCAGCTTCCAAGCATTGATCTTAGGGCTGTATCATCACTAAGTAAACCACTATTGTTGGATAAGTTATTTCTGATTATTTTGTTGTAATAAACAATGCTGTGGTGAACATACATGTGCATATAGCTTTATACATTTTTTTATTGAGGTATAGTCGACACACAATGCTACACTAGTTTCAGATGTACAACATAGTGATTCAACACCTTGATACAGGACGCTGTGCTCACCCCCAGTGTAGCTACCCCCTTTCACCGCACAACACCGTTACAATGCCACTGACTATATTCCCTATGCTGTCCCTTTCATCCAGATGACTTATTCTTCCCATAATGGGAGCCTTACCTCGCACTGGCCTTGGCCTATCTTGCCCATCTCCGTAGCCCTGTCCCCTGGGGCAGCCACCAGTCTGTTTTGTGTATTTATGGGGCTGTTTCTGCTTTTTTTGTTTGTTTATTTTGTTTTTCAGATTCAACATGTAAGTGAAATCGGTATTTGTCTTTCTCTGTCTAACGTCACTTAGCATAATACCGTCTAGGTCCACCCATGTTGTCACAAATGACAAGATCTCATTCTTATTCCGTTTTATGGCTGAGTAGCGTTCCATTGTGTATGTAGGCCCTATCTTCTTTATGCATTCCTCTGTCAGTGGCCACTTGGTCTGCTTCCAGAGTTTGGCTACTGTAAATAAGGCTGCAGTAAACATAGGGGGGCATATATCTTTGAATTAGTGTTTTCATTTTCCTTGGGTTAAATACCCAGTAGTACCCAGTAGTGAAATTACTGGATCATGTGGTAAAAAAAAAATTGATATTTTGATAATATTTATATGCCATACTATTCGTGATTATATGATTTTTGGTTTTTTGCTGGTGCTGTGTCATGCAAAGAATTTGTCCCGAAAGCAGAAATGTCAGCTATACCAGTTTTTTGTCATTGTCTCTGCTGTGTGTGTGTTTAGAGAGACAAAATCTATATAATATTATTAATAGTAATCTCAGTTTGATTTTCTTAGAAATTTTATAAAGCCACTTGTCATGTCAGGTGGCTTTGTAGATTACCACTAGATAATACAAGCCAGACATTCATTGTGCATCTACGTGTAAACTGTGATAAGCACAGGACCTTTTGTGATTTGCCTCCTGGCCCCTTTTTCTGGTCTCATTCCCTTTTGCTGTTCCTGGTCCATTATTCTTTTTTACTCACTTTGTCCTGTGCCTTGAATGCCTCCTCCCATCCAGGGTCCCCCATCTTCCCTTTGCTTGGTAAACTCCTGTTTATTCCTAAACGCCTCTCAGACCTTGCTTTTGCCACACCAACCACCTAGAGTGAGCTGGGTGCTCCTCCTGCCTACCCCCTGTGTGCCTTGTGCCTATTGCCATGGCTACACTTACCCTGTTGTCTGCTTGTGAATCTGCCTTCCTCCCTTGACTGAGACATCCTTTGAGAAAAGAGAGTGTATCTCATTTATGTTTATATGTCCAGACCCTAGAAGAGCTCTGTGTTTTCTAAAATATCTGGCAAACAAATACATTTGTTAATTACTTGAGAGGATGATTGTCATCTGTGTAGCTGCAATCATTGCAATAGACCCCTCATAGTTTCGCTGGCAGAAACATGATTGGCCTCAATTCAGTTCAGTTCCAGAAGTATTTATTGTGCTTTGGCTCAGCATCAAGCTCAGTTAACAGGTGCTTGGAAGGTGAAGAAGAAGGAGAGTCTGTGCTTTCAGAAATCTGGTTAGGAGGAAAGCCCAGCATGCACTCAACCATTCAGTTACTATAGCTTTCTTGATGACCTGCCATGTGCTGGGCACCATACTAAGCACTGGGGGATCAGCAGTGAGTGCAATAGACAAAATCCCTGCACAGCTTACATCTTAGTGGGAAAAATAAAAGGATAATAAGTCAAATGGTGATGAGCACTATGAAGAAAAGGAATCAGGATAAAGAAGTGAAAAGAGTGACTAGTACACAGGGGATTGGTTCTGTTCTATATGGAATGCTTGGGGGTTGGCTTCACCAAGATGGTGACCTCTGAGCGAAGACTTCATGACGGTGAAGGAGTGAGCCATTTGGATATCTGGGAGAAGAGTGTTTGAGGCAAAAGAGTATGCACATGCAAAGGTCCTGAGGCAGGGGTGCCTTTGACTTGCTGTGCAGCAGCAAGGAATCCAGGATGCCTCAGGGTGTCTGGGGGGGTGGCGCTTAGGAGAGGAGGCCAGAGAGGTAGAGAGGCCCAGCTCAAAGGAGGCCCAGAAGACTGTCCCTAGAACTTGGTCTTTTACTCTGATTGAAATGGAACCCATCTGGGTTCTGAACAGGGGAGGGATGGGGTCTGACTGAGGATTTAGTGAGCTCATTCAGGGTCCACTGTGGAGAATGGGCTACAGGATAGCAGGACTGTGGGGGTGCAGAAGGTCCACAGTTAGGAGGCTTGTGTGAGAACATAGGGGAGAGGTAACCAAATGGGAACCAGGGTGGCCGTGGTGAATATGGTGGCAGGCGCATGATTCTGAATATATTTGGAAGATAACGTTGACTGGACTTGTGAATGGATGAGGTACAGGACCACATAAAAACTGAAAAATTCTAAAGTATCAGCAGTGTGCACTGTGGGCTCTTCAAGGGGAGGGGGTCCCCTCTCCTGAATACTTGGTCCTGTGTAAGGAACCCATGGTGGGTGCAACTCCCCTGTCCCACTCAGGCTGAAGGATGAAGAGAAGCCACAGGATATTCAGGATATCCATCTTTATATTCACTCTACTCAAATCTTCTTCATCTCTCACTTTTGTTCCATGCAGTAGTTTGTCTGTGCAGCTTCACAAGTTGAATGTTGTTGTTTAGATTTCCTATTGCTAATATTTAATTTAAAGGCATTCTGCATAATTTATCTTTAATCATAATAAATGCATATGATAATAAACAGTGATTTGACTTATATTAAATATTTACTTGGGTTTTATCACAGAGTATTGGATTTGCTCAACACTTCATCCTTGGTCCTTAAAATGGTCTGGGCGTTCAAGAAATTATTGTTAAATGAATGGGTCATGGTATATTGCAAATGCAAATCTAAATTTGCTCTTATTTTAAGGCAATGTGTAAAGTATGCATATAAAGAAATATATGATAACCATTCAGAGTTGACTTTAAATACAGCAAATTTAAAGCCGTTTTTTACCCTGATCACTAACAAAATGTTGAGGTCATAAAGGTTGACAGATATGTTGCTGATTTGCACTGTTCAATCAGTCCTTTCATGGTCATTGCCTTTTCATTCATTTCTTCCTTCTCGAAAAACTGATGTATAGATGTGCAAGCATTTTGAGTTGACGAGAAATGGGAGCATTTAAACCTAATATCGCAATGAGACAAAACACTAGTGTTTTAAGCTGTGACATCATAATCTGCTCCAAGCACAGCAAAGCTAATTAAAATTTGTTTTGACAGCCATTTGTAGAATTTGTAGTCAGTTACAATAGTTTTCTGTTTCCTTTGAGTTTAGGTTCTGAATGTGACACCGAACGATGGCTTTGCTAAAGTGCATTATGGCTTTATCCTGAAGGCGCAGAACAAAATTGCTGAGAGCATTCCCTATTTAAAGGTAACTGTCCCTGCCCTTCCTCTTTTTTCATCTTCCGATTCCTTTGAATCATTTGGACTCCCTTGATTATGCATTGTCAATTGATTGGCATGCACTGCTGAGTCTTTTCATCTTCAAAATGTACACCCTCTGACCATGACATTCATAGGCAGTGATTGAGAGTGTTGGATGTGGAAATGCCAACCATATGAGCAGAGATTATTTGGAAAAGACGTTCTGAAGAAATTCATAAAACTGTAGTTATTAGTTTTTATTTAAATGGGAAAGGTAGACCAAAATTACTAATATAAAATATAGGCAATGCATTAAGTGTTCCTTTTACAGTTTAATTATACATTCAGTCTAGTTTGAACAGGACTCATGACAACCCACATGAACTACAGTAATAAATGTTGCCTGAATAGGTCAAACCCTAAAAAATGTGATAGCTCAAAATATTCAGATTAAAATATGCTGTCTTTTTTTATCTTGTATATCTAGTTGCGAATCCTTGCAGATGCACCAGAATCACACTTGGTCTAGCTAAGGGCTGTTCCACAGAACTTTCTGTCACAGTGAAAATGACCTTTATTTGTACGCTTCAATATGGTAGCCACTGGCCACGTGTGCCTTTGGGCACCTGAAATGTGGCTAATATGATTGAGGAACTGGGTTTCTAGCTTTCATTTTAATCTGAATAATGACGTGTACCTAGCAGCTACCATATTAGACAGGTAGATGATGGAATACTTGAGAGCTTTTTTTTTTTTTTTAAGTAGTATACATCACACTTCCATGATCTCTTTCTTTCACATGACTTAAATCAGAGATCTCAAATAGCAACCCACTGATTGCAAATAGCTTGCATATTTTATTTGGCCAGCACAGTTCTATTAAAAACAATTTTAATTGCTTTACTTTAGTTAAGAATCTAAGCGTTTTGTATAATCATGCAAATTTCTGATTTCTCTTGAAAGATCACATCTGGCCCACATCCCAGCACAGGAGAAGAGCAATGTTGTCCCCTTGAGGTGGCCTGCACCCCGCCCCCCCAGTCTGTCTCGGCTGTCACCGGGCATCTCTAAACCTTTACATTCCCTGCCAGGAACCTCTGGGCATATGGGTTTCTCTGATTGAAAGTGTTCCCCTTACATTTCCTTTGACATAATAAGGGACTAATAGTGCTCTCCCTGCTTCAGAGATGGGGAAACAGAGAGCTGGGTCTGTTAGTTAACCTGTCAGTCCCTGATCGCGGCTCTCCTCTCCTGAGTGATGCTATTCCTGTTCCTTGCTGCTACTTTCCAACATTATGCAAATAAAATTTCTCCCCAGGGAAGATAATAGGTTTCTGATGAAGAGCCCTGAAAATGCAGAGTTTTAGAAAGAATTTCTTGACATTTAGATATTTTTTTTTTACCTTTGTCCTTCTTTTGCTTTTCTAAATTCATTCTCTTGCTTTAATATTTTTTCTCTCACTCTCTTTTTTGTTGTTGTTGTTTATATACATCTCAGTTCAGTCTGTATGTGGGAGATGGGGTAGAAATCAGCTAAATGTTTTAGCATAGGATTTGTTTAATAACAACTACATTTTCAAAGAGTCCAGCTGGCTTTAATCCTATTGTAAGTTTTGTAAAAGATCTCATTAAAAGGTGAAGATACATTTGTTTCTAGTAGAAAGAAATATTATTTTCACTTGGATCTCTATCACTTCAAACATCTTATGAACAACTAAATATTTTAGTTCAGGAATAAAAAGCCTCCAGATTTGAAGAGCAAATTAAATGGGATAAATACCCAGTCAAGAAATTCTCTGGGATAGTGATCTGCAGAGATGATTCACATACTAATTTTCTGGGCTATTACATTGTTAACTAATGGTAAATGTATTATTAAATTTAGCTTTATCACCTCTTTTTGTGTTTGCATTCTAAATGTTGACCAGTAACCTAATTGCCAAACTTTAAATTGAGATGAATTTTTCTGGGCCTTAGATTTTTGTATGGTATATAAAGATGAAGTAAACTGATGAATTAAAGCTAGTATTTAATTTTTTTCATTAAATATGAACACTGTCCTTTTTACAGGAAGGAATAGAATCTGGGGATCCTGGCACTGATGATGGGAGGTTTTACTTCCACCTGGGGGATGCCATGCAGCGGGTTGGGAACAAAGAGGTAATGAACTTGTGAATTTTTTGTTCTCTTAACAGAGGGTAGAGTTGCAGGAGGGAGGCGGGTAACTCTAGGAGAAATTTATACTTGAAAAAATATTTTGAGCATACACTTTGAAGGTGGTGATTGAAACTGTTTAACTATTTAAACATTTTTTCAAACAGCCCAACAACTCCTACAAGCCTAGAAAGAGTTTTTGGGATTTTTGACCTTTATAGTTTCTTTCAAGAAACTAGCTGAGTAATCATAAGAGCAGCCTCCCCCTTAGTACGTGTATATGTATGTGTGTGAGTGTGTGTGTGCACACGTGTGGGTCTGGGCGCATAAAGAGATAGGCATTGCCCTGAAAAAATATTTTTAAAATTATGAAGTGAAAAGATATCTCTGAAGTTGCTTAAATATTTTAAAAATATTTTAACAGTATGCCTAGATTTGTTTTTATTTTATTTTTGGAATTTAAAAAGTAGTGATTTTTAGAATGCAGTCTTTGTTCAGCTGAGTCCTAAGCATGCACTGAACCCAGTGGTTAATTATGTAAATTACCTTCTGGTATTTAATACCAAGTTTCAGATGAATACCTGTAGCTCTAGTAATGACAGGTACTGACATGGAAAATGTACTAGCTAAAACAAGTTATGTGTTTTCTTTGTGATTATTGCTTTTTTTTTCCTGAGTACCATGTCAACTTCTTTAAACATAGCATTAGATTATTATTAATCATGACATCCGTGTACTGAAGTTCCCAAATTGTCATGATCACCGTCATTGTTGGTGGGGAGTGAAGCCTACCTTTTCTCTTACATCATCACAGGGCTCTAGGCTGGGCTCTCCTTACAGACCTGGATAAAGGGGTGAAGTGAGACACAGAATCTTTGTAACCATTGCCTTCCATATATGTTGTAAAGTGCAGTCAGCAAGATAACACAACTTCAGGTTTCTAAAATTAATAAGAACATGGAACCATCTGGACAAGTGAGGGTTCATAAGAGCAGGGGCGTTTGTGATGGGGTAATTGCCAGCGAGACACATGAACCAATTTGGGGTAAGAGAGATTTGGATGATTGACACTGTTTTCTTTATACATTACCGTGCATCTGTCCCTTTCCCCTCTAACCTATTAGTCAGTCAACTGGAATAAAATGAAGTATTAGAAGTGAAGAAGGGAAAATAACTTGCTGATTAGTTCTCATTTTTGTGTTCCTTCATTGTTTTAGATATAAATGCCTGGTACCTCCTTTGAGTGACAAGGATAAGAAAGATTTTGCTGTGGTATCTAACACTGCATAAATGTTCATGTCTGATTGTTGTAAATGTAATTGTCACTAATTAATTTATCTTTGAACATCTTAGGGTCCAGGGCAAAGACAGATAAAAGAAGTCTGCGATTTATTCTCACATCTTAGATGAAAACAGCCCTTACTTCAAGGGCAAAGAATACACTACTAAACATTTGTCAGGGGCTTGGGATTTGAACCTAGGGGACTGTTCTATCAGCTTATTATTGTTAATATGCAAAGGACATCACAGTTCTTGAATTTAAAAAATTCACAAGGATTCGTCCTTACAGGAGAACAAAAATAAGCTTATAGGAGCCCCATGTCCAGATATTCTCAATCTCAGCTATTGAGTCTGTGAACGGACAGTCACGCTCTGAGTTTGCAAACCGGGAAGCATCCATCTTTCGTGTTCCGATGCATGGGGCTCTGCTCAGGCACCAAAAGAGAAGCAAACCCACAGCCTCTGGGCTGCAGAGGCTGACAATGAAATTGTTTTTGCAGAAGATTTTCCTAACAGGTTTGTTTCAAATGGACAGGAAGAGGGAGGGAGACACACCATGATGGTCTCACAGCAGTTCAGCTGCAGCTGCTCCTGGGATTTCTAGAACCTGCAAACCCACAGCTCGTCTCCTACTCCGAGTCCAGATTCCCATGTCTGCTGCCTGCTTAGTGTCCCCACACGAGAGGACAGCTCCCTTGTCTTCCCCTAAACCGTTGTTCTTCCTGGGCTCCGTCTCTCATTTGATGATATTGCCCCCTTCTCTCCAATGAAGTCAGAACCAGGTTCGGGGAAATCGGCTTCCTCAGACTCTGGCTCCCATCCCACCTTCCCGCCTGCTCGCTCAGTGTGGCCCTTTGTCACCATCCACCCTCAGGCATGGCTGGACGAGCTCAGCTGTTGTTTCTTGTTTGAGTCTTACTTTCTTTCAGGCCATCATATGTTCAGAAACCCTACAGTGCAAAATATACATAAAGTCGTATGTCCAGGGGATGGCACTCATGGTCTCCACAGTCTAGCGGCAGCCAGCCGTTGTCACCGCAAGTGTCTCGTGTGCCCCACCGTTCCTGCGCTCCAGGCGGGACAGGCTCCAGCTGAGGCCACACCTGACACACGGGGCCTGGGCTCTTCTGAGTGGAGATTGTTCTTTGGACATTATTATTTCTGTGTAGTGAGTGTGTGTGTGTGTGTGTAACCCAGACCTGGCGGTAATTTGAAGCATAGAAGACATTGATAGAAAACACATGTAAGAAGGGATGCCCAGGTGATCTTTCTGTCTATTTTCATATCCTTGATTAGAGGCATAAAAGGGAAATAGTAAAGAGAGAATTTTCAGAAGATTCTAACTTGATCATTGATGTTCTAGCAATTTGTACTGTAAGAAAGCAATCTCACTGATTTTATTGGGTCCTCTATATAACTGAAGACAATTTCTTAAAATTCCCGGCATATCATTGTCATGGTTTTGTGTCTTTAAAAGTTGAATAGCAGGGGGCTACAAAATGAAGGGTCCTCCTGGACTGACTTTGAGTGTGAGAAAAGACCTTGTAGATAGTTTAAACACGGCACTGTAAGCAAAGTGACTTGCCCAGGCATCCAGCATGGTGAATATTAGGTCCAGGGCTACATTCTGACTCCTGAACTAGAGCTATGAGCTTTGCTGGTTTGGTTTTCCTATAGTATTTTTTTTTCCTCACTTCCGACAGTGTGCCTGGTCCATAAAATGAATTGCTGCTGACTCAAGCATTCCAAAAAATCACCTGTGATAATTAATATTGTTGTTCACTTTAACCCTGAAAGGTATAGGAAATAAAATCCTAAATTTAAATTGGACAGAAGTAACTTAAAAAGTCAAATAAATTTCAGAAGTAAAATGTTATTATTATTTTTTTTAAATCAGACAATGATTAGCCATTTTAAGTTTCTGGCTTTTTAAGAAACTCCTTTATGGCTACAACTTACCTGTATTTCAAGGAAAACATAGAAGAATGATTAGTAGATACGTTCTTGATTTGAGATATTATTTAGGAAGATAAATAAGAATATCACTTTTGATAGTTTTTTTCTTTTTTAATGACACAAAGATAGGAGGAGAGTGGAATAAGTTGCCAGAGCCCTGGGTTATAGTTCAAGATAATTTAGCCTTTATAAAACTCAGTTTCAACATTTGTAAAAATGGACATATTTGAGATTATTAGATCAAATGTGATTGCACATGGAAAAGTGAGTAACAAACTGGAAAGTGTTACTGAAAATACAAAGTGGTATTGTTATCACACTTGACTCTTCTAATGAAGGAAATTTTGACCTAAGAATTTTAAGACTTTTAAAAGGTAATATTTTTTACATTTAATGTATATCTGGGGGGTGCCCAGATGGCTCAGTCATTTGGGCATCCGACTCTTGGTTTCAGCTCAGGTCATGATTTTGGGGTTGTGAGATGGAGCCCTGTATCAGCTCAGGTCATGATTTTGGGGTTGTGAGATGGAGCCCTGTAGACTCCACGCTCAGCAGGGAGTCTGCTTGAGATTGTCTCCCTCTCCCTCTCCCCCTCCCCTCCATGCTCACTCTCTCTCTCTCTCTGAAATAAATAAATCCTTAAGAAAAATAATAATAAAAATAAAGTATATCTGGAGTTTTATGAAGATATTCTTTTGAATATCTTCTTAATCCACCTGATATTAAATGCCTGTGTTTAATTGATCAAAGTGTGTATTTGAAATCACTCTTCAAAAAGTCATCATTAGCTCAGACTTAGAGGCATGAGGGCGATACTATTAAGGACAGCACTGGAGTGTCGTCCAACCTGAAGACAATGGAGTGAGCGTGTGCGGTGCAAGAACCTTGTGGGGAGGGCCCCTGGGGAGCATATGGTGAGGGTGTCACTGGAAGGAGACATATGGAGCAGCATACTCTGCAGCCAGCTGTCCCTGAAAAGGCTAGTCTTAGAGGCGAGTCGTATCATGTTACAACTAGCCTAAAGCCACAAATGTTATCCCTCGTGGCAGAAAAAAAACAAAAACAAAAAGGAACCAAAATTCCCCTTTAAACAGTCTAATATGGGCTATTGCTATATTTATTGCCAGATCAGAATGATATTTCCTTTCTGTCTATTTAATTTAATGGAGGATTTATACTCTGTTACCTTGGGGCCGACTTCTGAAATGCAGACATGGGAAGAAGGTATGTGTGAAAAGAAGTCACTTTTCCTTTTCGCAATCCTATTCAGTAAATGCAAATGTCTTTGAAGAAATTATTAAAATCCTTTCCTTTTAAAGGAAACATAAGAGTAGAACTTGAGAAATGAAAGCTAAAAGATAAAATCCATTATGGTTTCTTAGATTATTTATCCACTTGACAAAGAAGTCCTTGACGCTGTGCTGGACGCTCTGAGGAAGACCAAAATGAGTGCAGCACGAATCCGCGTTAGGAGAGCATAAAGCCTCAGAGGGAAAATAAAATGCAGACATGCACTTATAAGAATAATATGTCATTATCAGAAACCCAGTTAAATAATGGTATTTTCACCAGTCTAACAAATTTGGGCACCTGACTAGCAAACTCTTTATTTAAATGTTACAAAAGTGATTCTCTATTTTTTAATTAATAGAAATGCTTCCCGTGTACATAGTTCAAGCTTTCTGTTCTTTCAGGCATATAAGTGGTACGAGCTTGGGCATAAGAGGGGCCATTTTGCATCTGTATGGCAGCGCTCTCTGTACAACGTGCATGGACTGAAAGCCCAGCCGTGGTGGACCCCAAGAGAAACAGGCTACACAGAATTAGTGAAGGTGAGTGCTAACTTAGACTTCATCCTCACTAATCGTTGTCTTTTTCCTACTCAAAATCAGATAATGCTTACCACAGAGAGGAATGTCAGGGAGGAGATAGATTTTACATCCAGCGACATTTGCAAAAAGATTGCAAAAAGAATCTTTTCATCCCATTAGCCAAAAGTTCAGTTTAGATGGTGAAGAAAGGAAGTTTTCTTGAAGAGCAGTTCTCAAACATTTTGACTTTAGGACCCCTTTACACTCTAAAAAATAGGGAGCATCCCAAGGAGTCTGTGTGTTCGGGGGAAGGCTATGTCTATCAATATGATTTTTAGAAATTAAAACTAAAAGAAGAAGTAATATTTATGAATTCTTTAAAAATAACAAAAACCTCATTGCATGTTAATATAAATAACTTAAAAAATAACTTTAGGGGTGCCTGGCTGGCCCGGTTGGTTAGGCATCCAACTCTTGGTCTCGGCTTGGGTCGTGATCTCAGGCTCGTGAGATTGAGCCCCACGTTGGGGTCTGTGCTCAACGGGGAGTCTACTGGAGGTTCTCTCTCTCCCTCTGCCCCTCCCCCTGCTTGTCTTCTCTCTCTCTCAAAATAAATAAGTAAATCTTATAAGTTAAAAAATAACTTTATTTTCAAAACAAAAAAATGTAGTAAGAAAAATGGAATGGTTTTATATTTTTACAAATCTCTGTGATGTCTGGCTTAATACAGTATAAGAGGGTTCTCATATCTACTTCACGTATACATCCATTAGAGTGGTGATAGTGTCATATGTCAAGTAGCGTCTGGAAAATCCATTGTACACCATGAAAGATTGAGTATGAAAAGGGCAAATAACATCCTTATATTAAAAAGGAAATAGTTTTGATCTTGCAGAATCCTTCAAAGGGTCTAGGGATCCGCTAGGTATCCCTGGACCACATTTTGAGAACCACTACTTCTGAGTGGATAAAGAAAAAAGGCAAATATTTTTAGAACATGTTGTGGCAGATTTGCAGGATAAAGAAACTGAGTGATTCTAACTACTTAATGGCAAAACAAACAAACAAACAAAACAAAAAAAAACACAAGAGAAAAATTAGAAGTTTTTATTTTGGTAAATTAAATCCAAATGGTAAGAATGTCTACTTTGTAATTTTGGTAGAGGCTGGTCGGAAGTTTATGATTGCTTTGGTAAGCTCTTTCTTCTTCTTAGACGTATTAATAAAGTGGGAGGTAAATTAACTCGTAGTTTTAATAAAAATGTAAATGTCATCCACCTTATAGGTTAGATGGGCCTCAGTGATCCAGCTTGAGAATCTAACTGCCATCTAGACATTGTTCGTATATAAGAAAACACATTCTCATGTTCAGACAGCTGATTTTACATCTCCGATGTGTGTTTTCCAATACCACCGAGCGGTTCTCCAGTTCTCAGAGGACACAGGCTGGGTGTCCTACAAATTTAACTCAATTCTGACACTGTCTACCTAGAGGTGGCATCAGGTTGCATGGGTTAAGGACCCAGTCTCACAAGACCGCCCCCATTTCAGACACCAGTTGCAAGTTCAGGTTGTCCCCTATGCTTCTGATTGGCTATGAATTCTAGGTGCCCACAACCCCCTCCTTGGGTTTGATTACTTTGTCAGAGTGGCTCACAGAACTCAGAAACATTTATTTAGGCTTATCCCATTATCATGATGAATGCTATAAAGGATACAGATGAATTGCCAGATAAAGAGGCACATAGGATGAGACCCAGAAGGGTCTGAGTGGAGGAACTTCTGTCCCCATGGAACTAGGGTCTTACGTTCTCTTGGTGTGTGGATACTTTCAACACAGAAGCTCATCAAATCTTGTTCAAGTTTTTAGAGAGTTTAATAGGCAGTACCTATTTCCCCTTCCCAGTGGCTGGTGGATGGGGCTGAAAGTTCTAACCCTCCAATCATTTGGTCTTTCTGGTGACCAGCCCCATCCTAAGGCTATCTAGGGACCCCTCTTCTAAGTCACCCCATTAACATAAACTCAGTTGAGCTCAAAAAGGGTGCCTTTAAAAGACACTCCTGTTATTCAGGAAATTCCAAGATTTTTAGGAGCTTTGTGCCAGGAATCTGGGACAAAGATCAAATGTATATCCTATTATACCACAGGTCACCCCCTAGTTTTTGTTTGCATTTTTGTTTTTGTCATGCATCCCTTATAACAAAGGATCATAACAGTTAATAGATATTGGCATGTTACTAGCGTTCCATTCAGTCACTAATAATTAGTCCAGTCCATCATCATACCATTTGAAAATAGCTCCCAGGGCAAGGCCACTCAAGTTGGCAGGCCTCCATTAGCTCTCATCAGGTCCCAAAAGTATGAGTGGTCCTAGAAATATATGGCTTTACCTTTTCATGCATCTGGTATAATTGAGAGTATCATCTCTTGCCCTGAGCCTCTTTTGAGGTGTTGATATAATATTGGATTTCCCTCCATTACAAAACCCATTTGTTCATTCCCTTACTCCCCGCTACTGTTCCTCCTTCTCTTCATTTATGCTCAATATGTTTCCACTTTTGGAAAGGACATGAGGTTCGACCACTGTGCAGGTCTAGATTGCGGGCAGCAATCCTAATCTAGCGAACACCTGCCCCGCCCATGCAGGTAAGGTAAAGTACAATAAGTAGGTGCAGAACTAAAAGGCCCATTCTTACCACCGGCAAGGTAACTACTGCATTCACTTATCTGAGAGAGATGGGAAAGGAAGAGCAGAGTTACAAAATATTGATAATTTTGGGATCTGGGTGACAGATATATGGAAGTTAACACTGTTCTCTCTACTTTTAAGTGTTTTACATTTTTCAAAAAAATTTTTTTTGCTAAAGAACATCTTGAATAGAATACCTCTATAAGATGTATAAGACTTCATTGAAGAATTTTTTTCCACTTGGGGAAGGAAAGTTTCAATGTAGTGTCAATTTACCTACATTAAATAAGTCTTTCTCGACCATACTTAATTCTGTATTTCATTGTAAAAAGCACACTGTAATCATCATAATCCAATTGTAAAGTAGGCTGCCATCAGTTAGACTTGAATATTTTATAAGTCAGAAAACCATGGTGTGGTGACCATGAACGCAGATCGATTTAAAGAGGTTCTATATCCAAAGCAGAAATAGTACAGGAAAAACATCTTCCTGGATAAATCTCCTACAGTGAGCACTGTCAGCAGTTCTTTCCATTGTAAAATTTCATCCTACATCGGATGGTATCACACTGAGCTCTTCTGATTCTCTTTCTGCCATCTAATCTTCTTCTCCTGGTCTCTTTGTGAGTTTATTTCTCTACTGTGGCTTTTAGGATGCTTTCAAGTTCAAGTAACAGAAATGCAACTGGAACCTGGCTTAAGCAACAAGGAATTTGATTGATGTGGGTGAAGGGAGCCCAGCCTAGCAGTAGGGCGGACTTCAGGGGTTGTGCACCTGGGTGGCAGGTTTTCTTGTTTCTGCACTTCCTCCCTGGTCAGCTCTCTCCTTGCACTTGCTTAAGTCAAGACAGCTGCCAGCAGCACCTGGAATGGAAGGTTAGAAAGTATTTGAGAGCTTCATAACATTGTCGAGCCACCACACCAGGCCCAAATGGCCTTCCAGAAACCTCCTAGGAGACCTTGTCCTGGTGATCATAACCATGTCACATGAGCACTCATGATTACAAAGGAGTCTGAGAAACCAAGTAGCTAGCCACAGGCTGGGGCAGCAGGCTTCCAGTAGGAGAAAGAATGTACCTCTCCATCACCCAGGAAACAAAAATCTTTTCCTTTGGTCTGATTGAGCCAGTTAAGTCACATTTCCATTCTGGAAGAATTACTGGCAAGGGGCTATCAGGTTATCTTTAAACCAATAGATCAACCCCTGAAGGCAGGAAAAGGTCAGATTTCTCTAAGTCCAGTGGAATACCTCAGGGGAAGTAAACACATGAACTAAATCAGGATTCTGTTAGGAAGGAGGAAGAGGTACAATGGATGTTTGGAGAGTGACCTCCAGTGTTCAGTGTCCTTGCTAACTGGGGATATGCACTCAGATCCAAACACTATTCTCTGCTCTCTGTTTTCCCTTTCTTGTCATTCATTTTCTAAAATAAAACCTTTCCACTCTGGTTCAATGGCTGTTAAAGTTTCTTGTTAAAGTCTTCTTGTTAAAACCAAAGCTTTGCTCTCCAAATGGATTTTTCACTCATTCTGTTCTATCTCCAACAGACATTAACATTCATTGGGAAAGTCAATTCACCATGTAATCCCATGGCTAATACTTCTTTCCAACTTTATAGTTTTGGTCAGAGATTCAGCTTTACCCAAAATTCCAGGTTTGTTTCTGTGTCCATATTTCTTGCCACTGCCCTTTACTGTTTTTAATTTAGCCAAAATTCTTCCTCCCACCAGACCATCCTGTGTGATAGTCTCACCTCCCTTTACCCCTTCCTTTTCTCCTTCTACCCCTTCACAGCCAATTCCTGTTTATCCTTCAGATGTTAGAGAAGTGGTCATTTCTTTTAAGAGAACAAGTTAGCATGTATCCAAAAGCACATATTCATATTCACAACTAGTACAGTATCTGATACATGGTAGGTGCTCATAAATGAGGTGAGTTGGTAGAAGTTTCTATAAAGTCTTTCTCTAGTTGTTTCATAGATTTGTCAGAAGTCCCAGGGATATAAAAATCATACCACTTACATTTCTTACTTATAAGCAGTTGGCACATCCTTGTCGGCCTTCCCTGAATGTGGGGGAAATTCTCATGTATTGCTACTGCACTGGGAGGGATGCCTAGAGAAGAAAAGATCCTCGGGGCGCCTGGGTGGCTCAGTCGTTAGGCATCTGCCTTTGGCTCAGGTCATGATCCCAGGGTCCTGGGTTCGAGCTCCGCATCGGGCTCCCTGCTCAGTGGGAAGCCTGCTTCTCCCTCTCCCACTCCCCCCTGCTTGTGTTCCCTCTCTTGCTGTGTCTCTTTCTATCAAATAAATAAAAAACCTTTAAAAAAAA